ATTGGGATACTCCCCGCTTGCATCCAGCCACCTACCTAACCTGGAGAGGGTTCTTGGAGTTCTTCTACTTGCAGAGTCTTAAGTCCAGGCTCGACTTGTGTGAAAACTTGGTTCAACAGACTGTTGCTTGATGCAGCTCGCAGGCCCACATATCCATCCTGTTGGTCCGGCACTTCTTGCAAGAACCTGTCCAAGTGCCTCTTGAATACATCCACCTTTGTTCCAGCAATATTTCTAATGCTTCCTGGGGAGGGTGTTGAACAGCTGTGGACCTCTGATGTTAAGACAGTGTTCTCAGGTTGTGCCTATGGCACCTCTACTCCTCACTGGTTCTATTCTGCATTTCCATCCGTATCTTTCGCTCCAGTATGTTGTTATTCTACTGTGCAAATTTGGGATCTAACCCTCCAGTATCTTCCATGTATATATTATTTGATACCTTTCTCGTCTCCTTTCCAGAGAGTACATTTTGAGAGCTTTGAGACGGTCTCAATAATTTAGATGTTTTATCGTTTCTATGCGTGCCATATATGTTCTCTGTATTCCCTCTAATTCAGAGATCTCTCCTGCTCTGAAAGGGGAAGTGAGTACCGAGTAATACTCAAGACGGTACAGCACCAGTGATTTAAAATAGTATTAGCATTGTTATGGGATCCCTGGATTTGAACGTTTTCATAATCCATCCTACCATTTTCATGGCCGCCGCTATATTTCCTCGGTATCCCCTAAATATCCAGAATATTTCACTGATGGCCTTTTGCTCTCTTTGCCTCTCCTGGGTTTTGTATGATTCTTGTAGCTTAAGTTCAATTGTTTCTATTTCTCTACCTAACCTTCTTCGCCGTTCTTGGGATAGGGTGTGACTCTCAAGTTGTTCTGCGATTCGTTTTCTTCGCCTATTGAGGGAGGATATCACTTCACTTCGCCCATCAGTGTAGATTTGATCTAATACATTCCCAGCTTCTTTATAAATTTCCTCAAGATACTTATGGCTCATTCTTGTGGTATCATTTTGGATATTTTTTCATTGTTATCTCGTTGATGATAATCCTGCGTGAGTCATCCTCCCAGGGAGGTAACCTCTCTACAGGCAGGAGCTCACAGGCTTGGTCAAGCAGGTGACGTTCTTCCAGGTAGCAGACTGATCTGTGATGCCATTTTTTTTCCTGCTTCGTCCTGTGAGTAGCACAAAACTCAGTTTTTTATTGGCAATATCATTGTAATGGGGATCTCTGGCTATCTTAATTGCAGGCTTAGCATTCAGTTCCCTGATTCTGCTTTTAACACTGGGAAGGGACAACTCCCGTTGATTAGATGTTTTGGCAGTTCTTGGGTCTCCAAGAATGATTGCCAGGGCTTCATTTTGTGTGCTTTCGAGCCTTTTCATGTCGCTTTGGGAGTAGGGGCATGAAAATGGTGCGGCATAGTCTATGACGGAGCGCACATAGGCTGTGTACATCATTTTAAGCACGGCAATAAAGGCCCCATGCCCATTCCAGGTCATAGCTTTCAGTGCCCTGAGTCGACTTTTACATGTTCCTATGAGGTAGTTGAGCTCCTCTTTTTTTCCCCCGTGTTAGAGCCGACAGTGACGCCAAGGTACCGATAGTGGTCAACCGATTCAAGTGTTTCCCCATTAATTTGTAGCTCATTTTCTCTTTGCTTGTGATGGCAATATGCTTTGTTTTGTCTTGTTTGTGGAGAGAGTGAAACAGAGTTCAACACACTTCCGTCCAAGGAGCTCAATGGACTGTTTAATTTTTCCCCAAGGTGGAGGCTTGTATTAGAACATCATCTGCATAACCCACTTGTTGTGTTAATTCCGGAAATTCAATATTTGCAATGACGTTGATAAATATGTTGAATAGTGTAGGGCCTAAGACTCCGCCTTGGGGGTCCCGAGTTCCATGTTCATTGTTCTCGAGACTGTTCCATGGAAGCAGACCTTGGCTTTCCTCCCTGTGAGGTAGTCTTCAATCCATTTCATGAGTCTCCCCTTGAAACCTGGTGTTAAGGCCTAGTACAGCGCACATATGGTATGTATTAGGCCTCAGATATCGTTCATTAATCCTAGGAAGGTTAGGTTAGGTTAGTTTGTCAAAGCAAAACAAGTAAATTTTTTTTTCTGGTTTGTCCAACTCAATAGTTCAGATTTCTACTTTGTAATTGCGTTGTACGTCGTTATATATACTATGGCCCTCATCATTACTATAAGTACTACCACACCAGGAGGCTGGGCTGTATTAGTGTGTGTGTGTATTCACCTAGTTGTGCTTGCGGGGGTTGAGCTCTGGCTCTTTGGTCCCGACTCTCAACTGTCAATCAACTGGTGTGTGTGTGTATGGTATGGAGGGAGGGAAAATGGAGTGAATGAGGAGGGTGAAGGTGGGAAGGCAGGGAGAGTGGGAGAGTGGGAGAGAGGGAGAGAGGGAGAGAGGGAGAGTGGGAGAGAGGGAGGGAGGGAGGGAGAGAGGGAGGGAGGGAGAGTGGGAGGATTCTCCTATCGGCGTGTTATCAAACATGTCATTTCCGCTTCACATTTTACCTGTGTTTCCAATCATGCACTCCAGAGTCCGCCAGCCCCAGCCGCCCCTTCTGTGTTGATGACCGACTCACATCCACAGCGGCACCGGGAATATTTCTGCAGTAAACCTTAAGGCGAACAATGGCAGTGTTTCAGTGGGATTACCACCATTGTGTCCCATCATCACCGGTCTACTTCCTGCCTCTCTGGCCGGTTCGCTGCTCATGGGAGCCTCTGGCACGTCGTCTTCAGCGATATTAAAACAAAAACGCAGCGTTTCTTCCTCGCTATTTTATCAAAATAAAATACTCACGTTCGCCACTCTATTATTTATGTTACCTGACAAAATGCCGAAGTTACTTGGGATGTGTATTCACCTAGTTGTGCTTGCGGGGGTTGAGCTCTGCTCTTTCGGCCCGCCTCTCAACTGTTATTAACTACTATTTTTTTTTCCACTCCACACACACCCCAGGAAGCAGCCCGTGACAGCTGACTAACTCCCAGGTACCTATTTACTGTTAGGTAACAAGTGCATCAGGGTGAAAGAAACTCTGCCCATTGTTTCTCGCCGGCAGCGGGAATCGAACCCGCGACCACAGGATCACGCGTCCAGTGTGCTGTCCAGTCAGCCACCAGCCCCTGGTGGTGATGTGTGTTCACCTAGTTGTGTTTGCGGGGGTTGAGCTTTGCTCTTTCGGCCCACCTCTCAACTGTCAATGAACTGTTTACTAACTACTATTTTTTTCCACACCACACACACATACTCCCCAAGAAGCAGCCCGTGACAGCTGACTAACTCCCAGGTACCTATTTACTGTTAGGTAACAGAGGCATTCAGTGTAAAAGAAACTTTTGTCAATTTGTTTCTGCCTGGTGCGGGAATCGAACCCACGCCACAGAATTACGAGTCCTGCGAGCTATCCACCAGGCAGCTTCCTTGTGGTACTCCACTTTTCAGTTCTATTATGTCTACCAAGTAGCTGCCGATATTGAGCCTAGCAGTTCTGTTGTCTATAAAGCTGCAGAGCGTAGCAGTAAATCTGTGGGATTTCTAGCTCAGATATCTTACATTTTGCCAAACTTTGTCGAAGGCTTTCGAAACGTCTCTAAGCACTTTTTTACACTGATCTTTTTTCGACATTGCAGTTCTATTATGGTGAGATGACAACGAAAAAGTCCAACATCATACCACAAGAAATGAGGCTCAGGTATCTTGAGGAAATTTATAAAGAAGCCGGAAATAAATGATATAAAATATACACTGAAGGGTCATCTAATCCTGTCAATGGCAGGGCTGGTGCAGCATACACTGTAATTAGGAACAATGCCTTTCAACGCAGACATGAAGTAAAAGCGCGTATTGAGAACTATGCCTCTTCAACACAAGCAGAGCTAACTGCCATTGTTATGGCGTTAAGATTCCTTGAAAGCAACACCAACGGTGCAGTGATCTGCACTGATTCGAAAGCAGCACTACAAAGCCTTTGTAAAAATCGAGCAGAAAATCTTGCAATAGTCGAAGGGAAGTATCAGGAGAAAGCACCAAGACAATATACGACTTAAATTAAGAGAGCTGTGAAGGTATTAACAAACAAAGGAAGAGAGCGTTGTCCAGTGTCAGAGTAAGTTAATAAATGGAATGCATTAGGCAGTGATGTGGTGGAGGCTGACTCCATACACAGTTTCAAGTGTAGATATGATAGAGCCCAATAGGCTCAGGAACCTGTACACCAGTTGATTGACGGTTGAGAGGCGGGACCAAAGAGCCAGAGGGCAACCCCCGCAAGCACAACTAGGTGAGTACAACTATGTGAGTACTTCCCAACCTGCGAGGAAGCGATCATGAGTGAGAAGAGGAAGGAGGGGGAGGCTGCTGGAGGGAGTGAGAGAGAGGGAGGGAGGGGCAGGAGTGAGAGAGGGAGGGAGGGGGCAGGAGTGAGAGAGGGAGGGAGGGGGCAGGAGTGAGAGAGGGAGGGAGGGGGCAGGAGTGAGAGAGGGAGGGAAGGGGCTGGAGTGTGAGAGGGGAAGGGGGCGGAAGGGGCTGTGACAGCACCCACCGGTGTGTGTGTGGGGGGGGGGGGCGGGGGCGGGGGCGGGGGCAAGTGTTGCGACAATGGACCTTTCCTCTGTGCCAGTGACTTACCCAAAACACTTCGCACGATCGGGCTTCAGCTCTTGGGAGCTGGCTTTCCTACTGTAGGTCATCCATTGTCTGCTGACGCCTTCGTTTAGTGTCATATATCGCTGTATTACACTGGTTGTGGTGCGTTTACCTTGGTTATGCCTGGAATGAGTTTTGAGAGTTTTGAGCAGATTCTGGGACCAGGGATGACTTGAATTAGAAAGCTGTTGGTTGGAGCGGCCCGCATGTCCATTACAGCCCAATTGTTCCCACACTTCCTCATCTAATGTGTTCTTGAATTCATCAGCCAATTTCCCATCTGGTTCGTTCATCTTGCATACTGGCCTTGTACTGATGAGGTGTTTCTTCATCTGCACGCCTGGCGTCCGTGGCACGCCTGGCGTCCGTGGCACGCCTGGCGTCCGTGGCACGCCTGGCGTCCGTGGCACGCCTGGCGTCCGTGGCACGCCTGGCGTCCGTGGCACGCCTGGCATCCGTGGCACGCCTGGCATCCGTGGCACGCCTGGCGTCCGTGGCACGCCTGGCGTCCGTGGCACGCCTGGCGTCCGTGGCACGCCTGGCGTCCGTGGCACGCCTGGCGTCCGTGGCACGCCTGGCGTCCACAGGACTCCATGCCAAAGATTACATGATAGTGAAATCTGGATGTACATAGATGCGATACAGTCAGTAAGTCAACTGGAGGAGTTGGTCTATATATTACGGTGGAGCTGGTATGTACAGAGCTCCTAAACTCTGCCATTGAGGTGGTAGAGGTACCTTGAGGTGCTTCCGGGGCTTAGCGTCCCCGCGGCCCAGTCGTCGACCAGGCCTCCTGGTTGCTGGACTGATCAACCAGGCTGTTGGTCGCTGCTGCTGAGGTACAGCGGTAAAAGTACATTGAATCAAAGATGAACAAATATATATATAATTATTAATCTGGTATACAAACCGACAGATACAACAGTTGAGGAGTTCACAGAACAGCTACACGGGATAGAGATCCTTGGTAACCTAGCAAACCCAGTACTAGATATTATCTTCCTTGGAGACTTCAATCTACCCAGTTTAAGATGGAGAATGACAAACAATAACATTATAGCAGGTATACAACCAGGAAACAGCCAACCACATGTCAGAGACCCATTGGGATTCTGTGATAAATTATCGCTCATCCAACCACCACTTGGGCGTGATGGTAGAGCGACGGCCTCGCTTCATGCAGGTCGACGATCAATCCCCGACCATCCAAGTAGTTGGGCACCATTCCTTCCCCGTCCCATCCCAAATCCATATCCTTACCCCTTCTAAGTGCTATATAGTCGTAATAGTTTAGCATAATTCCCTCATCAGACAGATTACAGAACAAACTAGGAACGAAAAACACTCGTCCTGATCTTCACAAACAATAAAGAAATACTCGGGGACATTACAATACCAGATAGGACTCAGCATGTCCACAATACCAGTGGACATCTTCAAGAGAAAACTAGATTTATTCCTCCAAGGAGTGCCGGACCAACCGGACTGTGGAGGGTATATGGGCCTGCGGGCCGCTCCAAGCAACAGCCTAGTGGACCAAACTCTCACAAGTCAAGCCTGGCCTCGGGCCGGGCTTGGGGAGTAGAAGAACTCCCAGAACCCCATCAACCAGGTATCAACCAGCTATACCTACTCACACCTCAAGCTTACAGAAGTTCAAGCAAACATTAATACTGATAATAGCACCAACAAGATCAATAAACGAGAAGGGTTATTCAATCAATACAATTTTAACATTAAAAGGATTGACTAGTAAAAATATAGGACCGGCAAACATCGACTGATGAAGTCGCAATAAAATTGCCTGGCAATGGGTAGAACAATTGACTACAGAAGCGTACAAAGTCTGCTTTCTTGAGGCTCAGAAAGAGGACCACTAGAATAAAAACGTACGTTTTATGGGATATTCCTGCGCGGGCCCTACGGCTTTGGCTGGCCCACTAAGTGCTGCTACTTTCATGTTTTTGTCTTAGTTGAAATCTTATTGGGTTTGTAACTGTGCACTGTGTTAGATAATGTTCCAGTGGTCTGTCGGGCATTTCTCCATAGTGCTGACATTTCCTCTCATCTTCCGGAACCTGTAAGCCTATTTCCCATGCACATGGGTATCCAAGCCTGATGCGATGTAAGTGTACTTCTGTTGTTCTACTGCTCCCTTTCATCAAACTAAGTGGTTCGTAGTAGGTTGAATTCTTGTACCAACCCGCAGATCCTGATGTTGCAACTGCTGTGTTGTGGTCACTGTACATATTTTGCATTGCTCTGCTTCTAATTACTTTCCTAATCTGTGATAGACTCTGTGGTATGTAAATGTCTACATTTCTTCTCTTAGTTGCAAGTTTTGCAGCTTCGTCTGCAATGTCATTTCCTATTATTCCCACATGACTTGGCACCCAGTTGATAAGTATCCGACGACCTTGACGTTTGAGTGTTTGCATTAATGCAATGAAATTTGTGATCAATGGATGTTGTCACGTACATGTATTTGTTGCACGGTTTCAATGGCAGTTCTCGAATCTGTATGATAACATGTTGTCGGTGTTCAGCAAGAGCATGTTCCAAAGCCTTTTGAATGGCTAGCATCTCTGTTTGTAAAGTCGAACACCCATTTGAGGATCTCTATCTAAACTATTTACAGAGTTTCCTGCTTTAACTGCAGCTCCGGTTTCTTGTCCCTGCTGGTCTACTGATCCATCTGTGAAGCATATGAAGCTGTCAGATGCCAAGTTTGCTTCTATATGCATCTGTGCAATATTACATAGCATATGCGGATTAGTCTGGTTCATTTTTCCTTCAAGAGCCATAATTTGACAAAGTTATAGACCAGTTGCACTAACATCACACATAATTAAAGTTTTTGAAAGAGTGATTAGGAATGTCTTTTTTTTTATTATCAAATGTCTAGTTTTTTCAAATGTCAGTTATCAAATGTCTAGTTTTATGTAAAATTATGAACTACACAACCCAGGACAACATAGATTTAGAGCGGGAAGATCCTGTCTGTCACAGTTGCTCAACCTCTATGACAAAATCACAGGAGCCTTAGAAGAAAAACAAAACGCAGATGTGGTATACAGGGACTTGGCAAATGTATTCGATAAATGTGACCAGGAGTGTTATCACACAAATAGTGATAACACACAAATGGTGATAACACACAAATGGAGTGATAACACACAAATGGAGTGATAACACACAAATGGAGTGATAACACACAAATGGAGTGATAACACACAAATGGAGTGATAACACACAAATGGAGTGATAACACACAAATGGAGTGATAACACACAAATGGAGTGATAACACACAAATGGAGTGATAACACACAAATGGAGTGATAACACACAAATGGAGTGATAACACACAAATGGAGTGATAACACACAAATGGAGTGATAACACACAAATGGAGTGATAACACACAAATGGAGTGATAACACACAAATGGAGTGATAACACACAAATGGAGTGATAACACACAAATGGTGATAACACACAAATGGAGTGATAACACACAAATGGAGTGATAACACACAAATGGAGTGATAACACACAAATGGTGATAACACACAAATGGAGTGATAGCACACAAAGCCTGGCCTCGGGCCGGGTTTGGGGAGTAGAAGAACTCCCAGAACCCCATCAAGCAGGTACTCCACACAATCCTCCATCCCCCCCCCCCCCGTCCTCCTCCATCCCCCCCCCCCCCCCGTCCTCCTCCATCCACCCCCCCCCCCCCCCCCCGTCCTCCTCCATCCACCCCCCCCCCCGTCCTCCTCCATCACCGCCGCCCTTCCTCCCCCCCCCACCCACTGGGAAGTAGCACACCAGGTCAGGTTTTTGCTCCGCCGCTAATCAGTCGTAAAGTCGACCTGGACTTCAACTCTTCCTCTCTGTGCCTTGTCAACTCCGTCAACTCCACCCTGTCCTTGTCAACTCCGTCAACTCCACCCCGTCCTTGTCAACTCCGTCAACTCCACCCTGTCCTTGTCAACTCCACCCCGTCCTTGTCAACTCCACCCCGTCCTTGTCAACTCCGTCAACTCCACCCGGTGCTGGCAACCTCAGTCCCCCAAGTTTATTGGCTGTCAACTCCCTCGTCAGGTCTAATCTACCGTGTGGTTGTGACTCACTTTAAGGGATGGTGATTGGGGCGTCTTTCTTTTTTTTTTATAATGTCTGGATTCTCTCTCTCTCCCCCTCCCTTCCCCCTCTTCCCCTAACCTCCCCCCCTCTTCCCCTAACCTCCCCTCCCCCCTCTCTCACCCTCTCCCTCTCTCCCTCCCTCTCCCTCTCTCCCTCCTCCCCTCCCTCCCTCTCTCCCTCCTCCCCTCCCTCCTCTCTCTCCCTCCTCCCCTCCCTCCCTCTCTCCCTCCTCCCCCTCCCTCCCTCTCTCCCTCTCTCCCTCCTCCCCTCCTCCCCTCCCTCCCCTCCCTCCTCCCCCCTCCCTCCCTCTCTCCCTCCTCCCCTCCCTCCCTCCTCTCCCTCCCTCCCCTCCCTCCCTCGTCTCCCTCCCTCTCTCCCCTCCCTCCCTCTCTCCCCTCCTCCCCTCCCTCCCTCCCTCCCTCCCCTCCTCCCCTCCTCCCCTCCCTCCCTCCTCTCCCTCCTCCCCTCCCTCCCTCCCTCCTCCCCTCCCTCCCTCCTCCCCTCCCTCCCTCCCTCCTCCCCTCCCTCCCTCCCTCCCTCCTCCCCTCCCTCCCTCCCTCCTCCCCTCCCTCCCTCCCTCCTCCCCTCCCTCCCTCCCTCCGCCCCTCCTCCCCTCCCTCCCTCCTCCCCTCCTCCCCTCCCTCCCTCCTCCCCTCCCTCCCTCCTCCCCTCCCTCCCCCCCTCCTCCCCTCCTCCCCTCCCTCCCTCCTCCCCTCCCTCCCTCCCTCCCTCCTCCCCTCCCTCCCTCCCTCCTCCCCTCCCTCCCTCCTCCCCTCCCTCCCTCCCTTCTCCCCTCCCTCCCTCCTCCCCTCCCTCCCTCCTCCCCCCTCCTCCCCTCCCTCCCTCCTCCCCTCCCTCCCCTCCCCTCCCTCCCTCCCCTCCCTCCCTCCCTCCCCTCCCTCCCTCCCTCCCTCCTCCCCTCCCTCCTCCCCTCCCTCCTTCCCTCCCTCCCTCCTCCCCACCCTCCTCCCCTCCCTCCCTCCCCCCTCCCTCCCTCTCTCCCCCTCTCTCCCCTCTCTCCCCCTCCCTCCCCCTCCCTCCCCTCTCTCCCCCTCTCTCCCCCTCTCTCCCCTTCTCTCCCCCTCTCTCCCCCTCTCTCCCCTTCTCTCCCCCTCTCTCCCCTCTCTCTCCCCCTCTCTCCCCCCTCTCTCCCCCCCCTCTAACTCTCCCTCCGCGTGGCAGCATAGCAAATTTTGAAAGAGAAATTGACAACATGTGCATGCACTCAGCCCTGGGTCCACACTCGCGGATTTCAATATATATATATATATATATATATATATATATATATATATATATATATATATATATATATATATATTATATATATATTATATATATATTATATATATTATATATATATATATATATATATATATATATATATATATATATATATATATATATATATATATATATATATATATTATATATATATATATATATATATATATATATATATATATATATATATAATATAAAGAAATGCAAAGTGCCGGT